AAATATCAGAAAATCGGCTGAATGGATTTGAAAACGGTAAAACTCAACTGTTCAACTCTGGGGGAGTGGTAAAATGAGCCTATTTCCCCCCAAAAAAGTGGAGTATCCCTTTAAGTTTAGAGAAGGCAGCAAGCTAAAAGAATGAGGCTATATTACAAGTACCAAAACTCCACAGTAAAACACATTATGACTGCAGATTGTGTTTGAATGAGGTCATTTCAGAAAGGTATGATTGAAGATACAAGGTCACAGTGGGCTAAAGCGTTATTTTGTTGTCATTTGTTTTTCCAATTGTTTTTGTGAATCACTTCTGAGGCATAACCAGACAGATGGCTTTAGTCAGTGTGCCAGTCTTCAATTGGCAATCTCCTTGTCATAGATAAAATATGTAATTAGACATCAAAATATTTCTGAAGAGTTCTGCAAAAGACCGATCCTGGGAACACTGACTGAATCCTGAGCTTTTAGCTGAAGGGGATATATGCCACATCTAATTTGCAATGCTGACAGTGTTCACTTGATTAGTTGAATAGTATTGAATAGTCAATTAGAGTTCGTTGCTAATTTTCCTAAATAACCAATTAGTCATTTTGACAGCTTCTAAATCAAGCTTGTGTAATTGCGTCTTCGTAGTTTGAATGTATTTGATGGTATTAAACAAGTTCAGTAGTTGTGATTGTAATCCTCTGATTTGTTGAATTCCCCCTCAGATGTTTCTGTTTCACAATGTGACCATCACGGTGCCAGCCAATTTCACTCAGTGCACCACCCGCGGGAGCTTTGTGAAACACTGGCAGGAGACCATTTACAATATGTTCACTTTCATTTGCCTCTTCCTGATACCTCTGGCCATCATGATCTGCTGCTACACAAGGATCTTGGTGGAGATCTCCCGAAGGATGTCCAAAGGAAACAGTAAGTGGAGTTACAGTACATCTGATAGGAGGCTACTGTTGCATACTGTAATGGAAATCATGGAGTAAAAAGTGGGATATTGTGCATTTGAATGAAGTGTAAAAGTAAAAAATTCCCCAAATTAAAATACTCTGTCATCATTTGCCATCATTCTGTCACCACTCAACCATATGCTGGTTGAAACAAGTTGTTTTAAAGGAGTAGTTCACTTTAAAAAAAAACTTTTGCTGACAATTTACTCACCCCCATGTCATCCAAGATGTCCATGTCTTTCTTTCTTCAGTCGAAAAGAAATTAAGGTTTTTGATGAAAACATTCCAAGATTTTTCCATATAATGGACTTCAATGGGAACCAAACGGTTCTAGGTCCAAAAGACAGTTTCAGTGCAAACTGCAAACTGTTCCAAGGGCTTTAAACGATTCCAGACGATGAATAAGGGTCATATCAAGCGAAACGATCGCTCATTTAAAAAAAAAAAAAGCTCAAATGGTTGCCTTGCTCTGTTCTGTGATGCGCGAATCGTGACTCTCCTGTTCGAACTCATTTATCAAAATGAACGAATCTTTTTTAGTCTCATTTGGATCATTCAATGAATGAAAATGAACGAGTTGACTCAGGAAAAGATGTTCATTTGATGAATGAGTTTGAATAGGAGAGTCACGAACACGCATCACATCCTAACCCTAACAAACTTTTTTTAAATGAGCGATCGTTTCGATCAGACCCTTATTCATCTTGTGGAATTGTTTAAAGTCCTTTGAATAGTTTGCAGTTTGCACTGAAACTGTCTTTTGGACCTTGAACCGTTTGGTTCCCATTGAAGTGCATTATATGGAGAAAAATCCTGGAATGTTTTCATCAAAAACCATAATTTCTTTTCGACTGCAGAAGGAATGACATGGATATCTTGGATGACATGGGGGTGTGTAAATTATCAGCAAAAGTTTTTTTTTAAAGTGAACTACTCCTTTAAGAAAAAGTGTTTTTTGTCAATCATGTCAGCCTTTCATTATATGGAGTCATAATATTGAGTTCAGATTCTTCCGAATACCTGCTTTTGAGCTCCACAGACAAAAGTCATACAGTTTTGGAATGACATGAGGGTGGGTGAATGATGATACAACTTTAATATTAGACTAAACTATCCCTTTAAGTCCAGAAAAAAGAGTGTTTGGACCATCATATATTTACTGCATATTCATAAAAATCTTCTGGCTTTTACAGTCTCTTCAAAGGAAATCCACTTACGGCGTTCCAACAGCAACATCCCAAAGGCCCGTATGAGGACTTTGAAAATGAGCATCGCCATTGTGACGTCTTTCATAGTTTGTTGGACACCGTACTACTTGCTGGGTCTCTGGTACTGGTTCCTTCCTGATGATTTAGAAGAGACCGTTTCTCACTCACTGACTCACATGCTGTTTATTTTTGGACTTTTTAATGCCATTCTGGATCCCATCACTTATGGCCTCTTCACCATCCATTTCCGCAAAGGACTGAAGCGTTACTGTCGCAACGCGGCTGTGCTTGCAGAGTCAGAAAATAACTCCATCGTGACGGGCTCATTGAAATGCTCACCATCTCCGTTTCACATGAAAAGAGTGACCCAGACGAGTCCAGGAGCTAACCCAGAGCAGAATATGGTGAGTGGGGAAGATAAGAAGCCAGCTGACCGTAAAAACAAGGAATAGTGGCAACCCTACCAATTCAGCCTTGAAAGTTTGTCATTTGATTAGAGATACGGATGTGACAAGGCAGGTCTTGTGCTGGCTGTCTAGCTGCTCACAAGAACAATGGGACAACAACACACACTGCCTGCTCTCCTCAACAGGATGCGTCACATCTTTTGATTCATTCACTGATGAGCTGCGTAAATTACTCAAGTTATATTTAATACCCATTTATTTTCCTGATTCAGGTGATTACATTTTGTAATCATTTTTTCCCTTTGCTTAATATGCCAATCATGTTTGTTTTTTTTTTCTGCAGATTAATTAGAACGTTGCGACTTGTGGCTTTTGTTGAAAATGTCATTTACATCAAGGGTTTTTATCTCGTACAAATTCATATTTCAGCATCTCCACCTGCCATCACAAAGGGCATCGCTCTTGAATGGCTTGTTTGTGAGGAAATTACTTTCATCTACAAACAAATAAGATGTGTGAATTTAGCGTTTTGAGATATTACATGCATAATAATGAACATTGGTTCTTGATTAGGTTCCTGGTGTTAATTGGAAATGTTCAATAGTACCACTTCAGGAATCCTAAACCAGCCTCTTAATATCGGTTAATGTGTAGACTTTAATGGTATCGGTTAATGTGTAGACTTTTTATTCAATAGATTCAGAATCACAGCCTCAAGAGGTCCAGCATTTGAAGTCTGTGATATTATTACAGGGCAGCCTGATCTCATAAGAATCTATATTTCAAATGTGGCCAGGGCACCAATTGCATAGTCCTGAATGTGGCGTTTACGTGCTCGCATATAGGCTGTTATGTGCAAAAATTGAATGTTTTGACAGCATCTAAAATCTAAAAGTAATTATTCATCTTTCTGAATCACTGTAAAAAATAATCCTGTAAAAAAAAACGGTAAACTACTGGCAGCTGTGGTTGCCAGCGTCATATCGTAACTATACGGTATGTTACTGTTTTTGTGTTAGAGCATATAGCTGTTAAATTAAAGTTTTATACTGTAGCTGACAATACAGTTTTTAACTGTTTATTTCAAAAACAGTAACGCACCGTATTTTTACAGTATGATGCTTTGCAACCACAGTTGCTAGTAGTTTACCGTTTTTTTACAGGATTATTTTTTACAGTAAAAAAAAGTGACTGCCTTAATTTTTTTAGTACAGTCAACTTAGATATTTGTCATTTCAACTTAAATTACTTTAAACTTCCATTAAAAATTTAATCTTGTATAACCTATCAAATGTTTTTAAAATTGCTTAAATTATTTTGATTAGTTAAAGCAAACATATTTTGTCATAACTTATTACTCATATTTTATTTTTATTACTATTTTCATAGTTTTATAAATGTATTTGTACAGTATATTTCACACTTATTCATCTTTTTTAGCCCACCCCTATCGTAAATCTAACCACTCTTCAAAATGTTATAGAAACGTAATAGGCAGATAACACTGGCGATAATTTTAGTCACAATGTACTATTATATACAATACCATTCAAAAGATTAAGTTCAGTAAAAAAATTTAAAAAATTGTATAAGCATTAAATTGATCAAAACATTTATTTGTTTCTTTCTATTCATCAAAGAATCAGCTTTGACATCACAGGAATAAACTGCATTAAAAAAAATGTAAAACATTTATTTTAAAATGTAATAATATTTCATAAAATTATGAAAAATGTATTTTTTTTTCTTCAAAAAATCAAATAAATGCATCCTTGGTAAGCATCCTTTCAAAAACATAAAAAAAAAAAAACTTTGAACAGTAATGTGTTTTTGAAACATACAAAAATCTTTGAAATGAGTTCAATCTGTTCATACATATATTTTAGATGCTGTCAATACTCTAATAAATGTACAAAAAACATTCAATAATATAGAATCCTACAAATACCGACAAATGTTTGAAGAAAAAGGTTGTACTCTGGCCAACACATACTATCACGTCCCTTGCAGTTGCAACAAGAACTCACTCATACTGTACGTAGCTTTAAAATGAGATTGATGCATGAGTAGTGAATGTGTTTACATCATACTTCTCAGGGAAGGTGCTTCTTTTGTCACAGGGTATTGAAGTCCAACTGGAGACTGACAAACTGTAAAGCTTTCTTTTTTTAATGTCAGGTGAATACTGTCATCTCTCTTGATGTGATGTCGTGTGTTCTGACAGTGCTTGAATCATACGTAATAATCAACATGTTTGAGAGCATGTTTCTGAGAGAGTCACGTGACATCCTCTAGTTGTGCTTCTTGTGTTTGCCGTGTCACTGCAGGGTGTAAGTAGGCCTTAATGACCCAGATTTTCAAGCTCAGTAAATGTAATAGCCCAGCGAGAATGTGTTCTTGAAAAGGAAAATGAAAGGGGGGGTGAGTCTTTTCTGTCAATCTGTCATAAGTGAAGTGAAGATTTATATACTTGCGCGTATAGTGCATTGCCATTAAGTGATCCACAGCACTTTCATATTCCATACAAATGGAAACATTAGATACACGTTGAGTCTTGGAGAAACTTAAAAACATTTTTTTTTTTTTTTTTTTCAGTTTAAAATGCATTTAGGTATTGTCTGCCAAATTTACTCATTATATCCATTAGGCTATGGCTGAATAAGATTTCATGGGCGAAATACATTATTGAATGACGGGAGTATGATATGGTATTTATTATCTGAAGAAGAGGTTACTTGCAGTGTTAAAATCTTTTTTAAATGCATGATGCCAACAGTGTGTTTTTGAGAATAAGATTTTCTTTTGTTGTGCATGATATATGACAATATTGTATTGTGTGTTATAATGTTGTCTGTTTTGGTTTATGGAGCAGTGAAAAAACATATCGCTTTAATTTACAATCCCCTTGTTTCTTTTAAGTAGCTCAAATGTGTTAGTTTTTAGTATTTATAATTTATGTTGAACATACTCATTAAGGTTTAAACAACTATATCATTATATCTAACCATTCTGATCTCACTAAATATATTGTAATGGATTCATATTCGGACATTCTTATTCATAACAGATTCTTACCTAAGTGACTTGTAATAAATGTGCAACCCGCATTAATGGCAATTAGAACGTTCATGAGAATACATAAAACATGCTATGTTAAATAAACCTCTGGCTGTGAAACCTGACATAAATCTAGCTGCTTTTACTATTCAAGTACATTCACACTTTTACATTCCCTTCAAGGTCCTTACGATGCTGGTTCTTTGCATTTTAGCCTAGAAAAACATGTTTGGCTGTAATATAGGCTCTAGAGTTTGCTTCATGGTTATTTTCATGATAGGTTTCTTCAGAACTAGTGGTTTCTGGGTTCTTCAAAGTGATGAGACACATGCCGTTGGTGTGAGACCCGGGTTCGAATCCACTGTGAGACACCAATGTGCAAGACACTTAAAGGGATAGTTCACTTTGAAATTAATTTTTGATATGTTTTAGCTTACCTCAAGGGCATCCAAGATGTAGGTGTCTTTGTTTCCACAGTGTTTTCAATTTTGATATTTTTAGGTCAAACCGTTCTTGTCTGTCAGTCATATAATGGAGGTCTATGGGGTCCACCTCAAAGAGCATGCACAGAGAAGTCCAAATTAAACATGATTTAATGACTCGTAAATGTAAGTACACACTGATGGCCTAAGACACGAAACGAGCGGTTTGTGTGAGAAAACGAACAGTATTTATATCGTTTTTACCTTGTGTAACCACAGCCATGTCCAACTGATCTGAAGGCACATATTAAGATATACAGGAAATCGCAGTGGAAGATGATTTCGATATATCTAAATATGTTTCGATCTTCACAGTGAAAGGTAAAACTTCTGAAATCTCTGTGTAAACAATGAGTGACGTACACGTGCAAGCGATCACTTCCGGCGCATGCGCAGACCAAAGCGCCCGTGCCGTCAGATCAGTTGGACGTGGCTGTGGTTACATGAGGTAAAAACGATATAAATACTGTTCGTTTTCTCACACAAACCGCTCGTTTCGTGTCTTAGGCCATCAGTGTGTACTTACATTTACGAGTCATTAAATCATGTTTAATTTGGACTTCTCTGTGCATGCTCTTTGAGGTGGACCCCATAGACCTCCATTATATGACTGACAGACAAGAACGGTTTGACCTAAAAATATCAAAATTGAAAACACTGTGGAAACAAAGACACCAACATCTTGGAAGTGAACTATCCCTTTAGCCCCTAGTTGCTCCAGAGGCGTTTGACGTCTGACATATATAGCAATTGTAAAAAAGCGTCAGCTGAGTGAATAAATGTAAATGTATGATATCAGACAGTAAAATCCTGTTTAGTTCAAACTTGCATCTTTAATTCTAAAGCTGTCTAGAATCTTTAATTCGAACTGATGATAAGTTGAAATGTCAGTGGTACAGTTTTCATGTGATAAATGTAAATGTGTCTTGAAGCTTTTGTTCAGGGACAGTATAAGTGACGACTGACAGCTGGGGTTTAATTCAGTGTAGGTGTAGATCTTTATTACTGAAGTGAGTGACAGTGACACAGCTGATAAAGATCAATTTTGAAAAGACAGAAAACGTATGCAACGTAAATGGAAATGTGCAACAAACGCACCATGACCGGTCACAAAATTCTGATGGATTTATAAGATGATTGAACAGATCTACTGCAAATCTTTAAATTTAAATCACAAATTATTTTGGGCAGGCTCAAAAATCGTATCTTCATGCCATCCAGCAGTCTGATATTTTCTAAAATATTCACGTCAACACGAAGGGTATGTTCACACAACAACTATGACAAGGATGTGCGCTTGTGCTCAATTTGAACATCAATGTGAAGAAATGCATCAGCTAAATAATTTAGGATGTAATAAAAATCCAACAGAATACAATAGCCTATAGTTTCTCTTAAGATTTCATTCTTATCTTGCCCTCGTATTTTAAATGGAGTTTTTTTTGTACAACCTACGCCACTTTGGCTTGAACTGTGGGGATTGTAAAGCACTTTTCTTTGCTAAGCTGCTTTTGAGCTTTTTGTAAAAGCAGCATACACACAAAAGAAGTTTGAATGGAATTGAATTATTGTTCCTTCCCACAACCTCTTTTCCAGGGCAGATATTTGTGCACATTAAACAGCAAGGAGTCCAATGTTAAGAGAGGAATCTTCTAAAACATTACATAACTTAAATCAAATTCCTTATTTAAAGAAGAAAAAAAAAACGACAAAGACTTAGCAAAATGGCTACTGCAGGCTTTGAAATCTTTGAAACGCACATGCAAGATCATATTTGTGTTTTGGGAAAAAATCCTATTTTTCTTCTCAGTATCAAATGCCCAAAAGCCTTAATTATAGAATAACTTAGATAGCGATGTTTTTTAGGTTGGTTCTAGGGTGAAGTCTTTGAAGGTGTCCAGTGGGAAGGGTTCACAGAGATTTCAACTTACTTCATTTTTTAAAGAACCCTTTCAACTAATGTTTAGCAATGAGCATGTATCCGTCATACTTCTTTTAAAGATGACCTACCAATTTCTTTTTCTGAACTGCCTAAAATAGGGGATGGTTCGAAGCTTAGTTGAGTTGTCTTAGTATAGTGTGTTGAGATCAAAGCATACTGGTCCAGCTGACCAATCAGAGTACAACTGCCAATTGGGACTAAACAGAGCGTTACAAACAGACTGGGAAGAGAGGTGCTGCAACAATTTAAAATAAGTAAAAACCTATCAAGACTGTAAAAGAGCATAGGCTAATATGGTTTCTTTAAGAAGGAGTTTTCTCATTAGTACTACTAATTTGACCAAAAGATAGGAACAAAAGTTAAGAAAGCATGGCTATATCCATACTTTCTGTTTGTACATAAATAACTGCACTTTTCAGATGAGAGAAGACCAACTGGACACATAAACCAAGGC